TGATTTAGCTCTGATACGACCCCCTGTAGTAATCCGAAGTCCACATTACTTATGAGAATCACCCACAATAATGATTTCCCTGACAGGTCTTTCGATTGATTGTGCTTCTGGTGAGCTTGAACTTTCACGACTTTACGTCTTAGATACAGACGGATGCAGGTTTGAGCTTGGCCAGAAACGTCCAGGCAAACAGGCAGGATTCATCCCGGTAGCTTATGACATGGAAGTCTGGGGCAGTCCAGGAAACATGTCGCTGTGTCATGTGCAGGAAGCCAAGACCGGAACTTTGAGCCTGAAATTTCCTCAGGCGCGGAGTTTTGCAAATTGTCAATGCCCGGCTCTAGGTTACAGATCCTGCACTTGCCCCCAGTGTCGGTCTTACTTTATGGACAGGTCTTTCTACTGCTGCCAGAATTAGGGTTTTACAAACAGGCAGTACGCCCTCGTCCTTTGCTTCCGCATGTGTTGGTACCCTTGTCCTTGGTATGCGTGCTGTTGAAAGAAGGTATATCATTAGAAATGAGCCTGTATTGTTTTGAAGAAGATGTGTCCTGGGCAGAGATTGGCCCCAGCAATGTGAGATCGACGCCACAGCAAAGCCAGGATGCACCATGTAAGGACAGCTTCTTACCACCCTTGCAGCATTACTTGCCCTGCCCGAAGGACAGTGAGAGGCCGGCGGCTCAAGCCGTTGACTGCTGACTGCTGGAGACCAAAAAGAGTCGAACAAGGGAGGTGCAGCGTCTACTGCAAATTGCGATGGAGTAGACAAAGGCAAGCCGCAGATGTAGGGTCACCTTTTTTTGCTTGCGGTATTGAATCTAACCCCAACATTTACCTTATTATAGTATAGCAGTTTCCATTTTCTTTTCCATTATCTTCATAATATAATCCCGCATATTATATAACCCCATATTGAACTGCATAGGCAACAGCAGCTCCCAAGCTCATCACTGAGCGGCAGATGGCCAAAAGGACAGGATGGAAAATCAGAGTCTTGAGTCCACAATGGTGGTGTCCGAAGAACATGGAAAGTACTATTTAGGGGTTGGCGATGGACTGTTGAAATTCATTCAACGTCTCCAACATGCAGGACGCACCTTGCGCAGGCCTCCATCTCTTGCATTCAGCTTACTGGTGGTTAGTAAGTAGGGGATGAGGGAATACAATCCCCCTACACGTCCGCTATACAGATTCTGTTATTCCCTACTAACCACCAATAAGTCCTGTTCAATGCATGGCAACCATTTCCGAGAAGCTGGACGCAGGAAGACTAGTGGAAGACTAGGGGTAGTCACAAGCCAAGCTACAACATTTACTAGGGCACCTTTGAGGCTCCTGTGCTTGTTATGCACTTCTGCAAGCCAAGTACCAGCCACTGTAAGTAGCTACACTCGTGCCTGCCAAACAGGAGCGGCCGTTGGATCTCGCACGCCGTGTTCATGGAACGGACAGCGAGGCAGCTCATCGTGGCCGTGTACAGACCTCAACCTGATTTTTCTTGGGAGATGGTATGATCCGATGCCTGCAGGCCAGTGATCCGTTGAAAGAGATCCGATTCGTTGTGCACATTAAATGTCCATACTTCACTTTTGGAAGTTTGTGTGGGAGTGCGGACTGCGAGACAGGTAGTCCAGCTGCTCTTGGCGGCAATGCGCGACCAGGCCGCTTGAGGTGTAGCTTGGGGGGTTTGAACCCGATACGGGCATTTGGATCGTGTCCTCCACCATGCCACGCAATAGCGGCAGAACAGCAATAGCAGAAGCAGGTATTCTCATACTAATGGTAGCCTCCAGGTCTTCTGCCATTTGCATGTGAGCTTCAATGGTCAGGGCTCGGACGACAGCTTTCCTGACGAAAGCGAGGCATGCCAGTTTCTGGGCAGCCTTGGTGATGTGTGTTTCTGCAGCATATCAGGGTAGCAAAATGGGACGCGAATTGAGGAAATGACGTACATGGGAGCATCCTCCAGTTGCTGCTCTAAGATGTTCATGTAGTTCATGGAATTGCATCTGCCGCATATGTGATGTCCTTGCCTCAGGGTCAGCGCGACCTTGCAGCTGCTGAGTTCGTCCTCACTCTGAGTCAAGGAGGCGGACTGGTACGGTGGGCTTGTTTGATGGGCCCATCTAAAAACCAGGTTTCTAAGCCAACTTGTTGCCAGGTCTCGACAAGCTGGCGTCCTGGGAGTTGCAACGTCTGGGAGCCAGAGCCATGCAACGGGTCCGCCCGGGAAGCAGTCTGCGCAGCAAGCGGGTAAAGCGACTGAACTTGTAGCAACTGACTTTGTGGTAGTTTCCCAAAATAGGGGGACCCCAATATAGAACCCAAAATACTATAGTCCTTATTATGGGGACCCCTAAAAAGGTACCCCTAATTTTGGGGAACCCCCTTGTATTGCGCGAGGTACAGTGCCGAGTTTTTTTCTGCAGTGACCGCGCTCCAGCGGCCATTGCGACTCTGAAGTCGGTCAGAATCCTGGACAACGCCTGGACAAGCTCGAAAGCTCATCATCTCCCTGCAGCGTCCAATCTTGTGGATGTACATTCCATAGTCTAAACTCCTTAAAAAAGGTTATATAGGGGATTATATAGGCCAACATTATAGGGGTTATTAAGGGGGATACTCGGAATTTAGACTATAGCTCATCTGCCCCTTTGGCCATGAGGCTGAGAAAGTCTGCGCAGTGGTCTCCAGCTTAGAAAATGTTGGGATCATAAAGGGATAATGGAAAACAACATGGAAACTACTATACTATTTTGGGATTATATAGGGATAATGGAAAATAAAATGGAAACTACTATAGTATATTTGGGTTATATTTTAGGGATGGCAGAGCTTCGAGGATCGGAGTAGCGCAGCGACCTGAGGTTTTTCGAGCTAGTGGAGCAGACACTGCAGAGGCCGCCAGCCTTGAATGTATCCAGTCTGCCTCACTAGGGGTTATGTAGGGGTTATGTAGGGACAATGGAAAAGAAAATGGAAACTGGTATAAGTATATTGGGGTTATGTAGGGAAAATGGAAAAGAACATGGCAACTACTATATTATAGGAGGGTATATAAGTTCGCCACATGATCCGCCAAGTTCTGCCGTGACCGGCTTCGACAGGTCATCCAACATGTTGGTGGCTTTGGACCAGCAGCAGAGTTGGCTGGGAACTTGGCATTGCCTGGCATCCCAGGCTTCCAATATGATATGATAGTTCCATTTGATTTTTCATTCTCCCTAAAAAAATATCTCCAATATAGTATAGTAGTTTCCATTTTATTTTCCATTATCCCTTTATAATCGCAATATAACCCATTACAAAGAGGTTTGCTTTGGCTTTGGTCTGGCGAACTTTGCACAGCCAAGCAGGTTTAATCAGGATGCTTGCAAGCAATCAAACGATGGGCGTAGGCCTTTCAAAAGATATGTTCCTCTTCAGGGGCAAGGAAATGGCGTAGCATCACAAGGCTGGCAAATTTCAGAGCTACTTGTAGCTTCAGTTTCATTCTGCTCTATCAGAATCACACCAGGTTCGAGCGCCAAAATACTTGTAACATCGTGTTGGGGTGCGGCCACTCAATTGAACAGTTTGTGTTCAGCATTGAGTGGGGGGGAGGGTGGCCAGGGACAAACCCTGAAATCTTGACAGAACAATGAGAAAAGCAAATTCAGCAGGTGAGCACCGGTAGCTCTCTCCTGTCACTGGCTCTTTCCTTCGCCATGGGTTCGCTCTTGCAAGCGCTCTCGTTATATCTCTATCTTTCGCTCTCTTTCACTCTTGTTCTTTCTATCTTTCTCACTCTTGCTCTTGCTCGGGAGCTCGCCAGTCCTGGGCTTGCTTGCGCTTACGTCTGGTAATGTAGTGTACCTAAGCTAAGTGGGTCTTCCAAGGCTGTGGCTAAATGGGTGGCTGACGCTCCGGGCTGGAAGCAGGCCCTTGACACTTGGCCTCTCAGCTGAGCTTGTCTGGGGCTGCCTGAATCACCGCTTGGGTTGGTTAGGTGTGCAAGTTCTCGGGCAAATTTTCGCATCTGAGGTGGAGATTCAATGGCCACGCTGGAGGAGAAAGTGTAACAATCACTGCATCAGCCGGTTTTCTAAGCTCCTCAGTATGGAAGCTCCCTCTGCAGTTTGTGGCCCAAAGAAGGAAGCTGATGCCTTATTTCAGCATGACCGTGCTTTGGATGGTACCTTCCAAGCTCCTGAAGGGCCTCGGAGTGGGATTCGCTGGCCCCGACTCCTCCCAGAGCATTGCACTGGTGAACTTAATTCTGAGTGGCGTGGTTGTGGTCCTTTTGATCCTGGCGCTTCCGTGGCGCCGCTTGCGGTGGCCGGTCCCGATGCCGTGGCAGCTTGCCTGCACGGGTTACTGTGCGGTTGACAAGAGGGCACCATTTGCAGTCACAGTTTCTGAAAAAGCAAACGCACGCTGCCAATCAGGGACATCTTCCGCAGGGTCCTTGCCTCAGCTTCGCCAGGGTGCTGGGTGGGACTGTCAAGGTATGCTTCCAGGTTGGGATTAGCAGATTCCACCTGAAGCCGAACTCTGATACTGCATGCTTCTGCGAGGTTTCAGTGACTTGCTTCTAGTTTGACTGCGCAGGTTTCCTATGCAAATTTGCGAATGGTTCGGCCCGAATTCTACGAGCTAGATAGCCCTTGGGCTGCATTGGCCATGTTCCTTGCTCTGAAGTGACCTAGGTGTAATGATAATTGTTTTGGAGATGTTCCGAGGGCAACTCTCCTGCACAGGTGTTGTTCTGGAAGTCACTCAGCTGGACCCATCAAGATTTGGAAATGTCAAGGGTGAAGATGCAACCTTGCCATTGCAAGAGCTCCTGGAGTGGGTAGCAAAGCACCCGTTCACTGGCTACAAGGGTGGCATCGCTCGCTTGGTCGGTAAACTTTTGTGGCTGGACTCTGAGAACCCAGATTTGATTTCAGAGATTGCAGGCTTCAACGACATAGATCTTATCTATTTCCTCCAAGACGGCGAGGACCACAAGAAGGCTGAAATGAAGGCACTCGTGGATCAGGGCCTGGAAATTGGAGGCATTCCAGTAGAAGCCCAGGATGTTGAGTACAGCTACGACACTGTGGGAAACATCCTGGCCACGCGTGACCTAACTCAAAACCAATGTATAGTCGTGTCTGATGATGATGGAAAGGTTTTCTTGATTAATGCCAAGATCTGCCGTGACTCGGTCTTCTCAACATTTGTCTTTGGTTGATCATACGGTGAACGTGTCCAATTTCTGGATTGCTCTTCCGCAGAACATGCCAGGCGAGCACATGCTTCGAAGTATGACGGCGCCTGCAACAGCTTCGGAGGTCAGCACGTTGGATGATCGTGGCAACGTTATTGCTGCTCCAAGAGTTGTGGGACGAGCTATGGTGCAGTGGATGAAGGGCCGTGCGCGACATGTGGAGCTCTCGGAGCACACAAGGAATTTCTACAAGCAACAGAAGCTTCCAAAGATGACAATGTTTCAGATCCTCTCCAAGGCCAAGGGCAATGAAATGTACATGAAGGTTTACACAGAGCTGGTCCGCCTTGGCTTCGTGGAGAAGCAGCAGTACCCGCACGTGCTTTGGGGGGAATGCTATGCTCATGTGAATTCTCTCATCGCAAGGCATGGGTACAGGCTGGAGCTCGAGAGTGAACTCAATTCCGAAGCTGTGGAGCGGTGGAAGGAGGCCAAATATGCAGAGCAGCTTTCACGAACCCGTGTGAGCGCTTTCCGAGACTTCCGCTTCCATCAGATGGTTTTGGACGAAAGTTTCCTCGTGCCGTACGGCATTGCAGATACTGCTCTTACGCATAGCCTGAAGGCACACATTGCTGGTTCGGACAGCTTTGAGCATCCTTCCCATGCGCATTTGTCATACCTCCGTCAACAACGAAGCACTGCAGCCATGCACGTGGAGGACGGCTCCATCATTGGACAGACGGGCTTCGAGCACACAGAAGTGGGTCGCACCTTTGAAATGGGTGGTAGCGAGGCACCTGGTAGCCGTACGAGGATCCTGCGCCGAGCAGCTTTTGAGAGTTCCAAGGCGCGTGCTCGACGCATCGTTGACCGCATCTTGACAAGCGGCGGAGCATTCATGGAGCAGGATGAAGCTCTTCCTGACAATGCCGACCCGATGCTGGCTCAGAACCTCTTCGGGAAACTGACCTTGACAGAAGCTTTCCTGCAGCTGCTGAGGATCGGCAAACTGGCATGGCCAGGATTTCTGGCAGCCTTCCTCGTAAATTGCGTGGCCGCCGTGCTATACATCCTGGTGATAAACCATCTGCTGGGCACCTTCTGGCTTCTCGCAGCTGCGTCGTCCAGCCTGCTGGGCGCTTGGCTCTTCATTCGGTCTGCGAATGATGCTATGCTGATCGTGCTGACGTCCATGCGCCTGGCCGAAGACTTTCAGCCCAAACTCCAGAACGTCCCGAAATCCTGAACCCTAGTCCGAGCTCTTGATCAACAGGGGGCGCATCCGAAACCCATGATTCTGGGGATCCGGATCCCAAAAGGACAAAGTAAACCATGCTAAATACAAGTAATCCGCTGTATGAAGAAAATCCGCAGACCCAGTATTCTGAAGATCCCCCCAGTTCGCCATACATGAGGAGAGACCCTCTCACGCAAGCTCCACAGGGGGTAGCTCAGAACGCAAAGCTGGATCCTTTAAATCCTGACAAGCTTCAGCAAACAAATCAGGTTCCAGAATCAGCCTTCATATTCTCGTTCTCAGAACAGCCAAGGAAGCGAGTCTTCCCCCAAACCTCAAACTTTTGAAGGGAGCTCCTGAATCTAACTGAAAACCAGTCAAATGTCAAAAGCTGCCTAAAAACATTCGTAAAATCAATCAAGATCCTTTTTTAAACAAAATAGTAGCAAAATCAACAGCTGTTGAAAAGATCCTCTCGTGTTTTTGCGAGCTGAATTGATTTTCTATGGATCTAGGTTTTGAGGCCAAAAGCCCTTTAAAGTGTTCTTGGGCCCTCAGTTTGGCCCAAAAGAAATTCTGTAAGTCCATGAGGTTCAATTCATCCAGAGCAGGGTTCAAGCCCTAAACCCTAAACTCTAAACCTAAACCCTAAACCCTGACCCTAAACCCTAAACCCTAACCTGGGCCTTGCAGGTACCTGGCCTTGCTCAACATCAAGACAGAGGCCTTCTCAGCCAGCTTAGCCTTAGCTATCAGGTCTTATGCCCTTCAAAGCTGATAAGATTATACAGGGGTGTTCTCACTAAACCCCTAAACCCTGGAACCCTAAATCAAAAACCCGAATCCTAAACCGCGAGTCGCAGCTTCATGACCCCATGTCTACGTCTGCCTTCAGGCCTTCACCACGCGGATGTTTTCAGAAGTCTGGAGCCGACTTGTTGGAGTATCCCGGGTTGTCATTAAGGAAGGTTCTTGAAAAATGTTAAACGTTGCCGTGCTAAGGGTATGTAGTGTCTGTAGGGTTTAGGGTGCCGGGTTGCTATAACAAGGAAACCCTATTATTTAGGGGGTTACAACAAGTAGAATACAGTGTTTAGGGTTTAGGGCTACTACAATAAGGAAACCCCATCAGGTACTGTCTATCCATATTATGGTAACTTGAACTAAGCCCCTTCACCCAGGATACTCGGGCGCTTCAGGGCGTGCTGGAGTCCTGCAATGACTTCAGCATCGAGTCTCTGACGGTCATTGGGGCCTTGTTTGCAATCCTGGGCCTTGCTGCTACTGGGTTGCTGTTCAGGAACTTAATTTAAGTTATTATCCCCCTATAATGGAGAATCAAAGGGAAAGAACATGGAAAATGAAATGGAAACTGGGGGAATATGGGGATTTAAGGAACTTAATTTAAGTTACTATATTGGGAAACCTTGTTTATCTATATATACATACCCATTAGGGTAACTTAATCTAAGTTCCTTAACAGCAACCCAGGCTACACAGCCAACCTGTGACAGTAAGCCCGTTTGGAATGCCATCTTTGTAGCATTTTCTGCTGGTGCCCTCATGGCTGCAATGTCGCTCCTCGCGTGCTTCAGCCTCCGAAGTTGCTCCAGACAGACGCGCAGCATGATCGGGTACTTGTACTCTGATATAGGGGTTCTATAGGGGTTGTGGTAATTTCCCAAAGTAGGGGGAAAGGGAGCCCTAACTTTGGGAAACCTCCATGTATTGGGGTATAATGGGTATATTGGGATGATGGAAAAGAAAATCAACACTGCTATAGTATACTAGGGTTATATTGGGGTTATATGAGCATGATCAGGTACTTGTACTCTGACATGTTCAGCACCCTCAGCAACTTCTTTGAAATTAAGTCCGTGGCCGAGAAGCTGTCGTCAGCAAAGGCGACGTACGAGGAGATTCAAGATGCCAACCTAGAGCAACGTAAGAAGCTGACACTGATCCACCAGGTTATGCAGATCTTCCTCCGCTACACGGAACCTGGGTTGCTGTTCAGGAACTTAATTTGAGTGACTAGAATGGGAACCACATTAGTTTATATATATATACACACATATATATGTGGTATTTGAACCCCTTACCAGCAATCCAAACCCAGGAACTGGCATGCATCACTCTTGCACTCTTCAAGCTCTTCCACTCAACGGCTGTTGGAACTTCATCTGAGTGCGTTCACAGCTATTCTGTCTTCGCCGTGTCTGTTCCCATCCTACTCAGCGCTATACGCCGGGCATGTGATTCGCACCGACTGGTAGTTTTGGCAGCCTCTTTTGTTGCTATGCCATGGGAACTTAGCTTTAGCACGGAAATCACTATTCAGCTGTGCCATGTGCAGCTTTCTGTTAGAGCTTCATGCTAAATACCACTCGAGATCCATGTGACATGTTTGTTCAGGTGAGGCGCTGCTGCAGCTGTCTTCCTCCATTGGTTCCTTGGAGCGTCTGTTCTTACTATCACGTGCTCTGCTTCGCATGGCGGCGCCACGCTTCGAAACTTCGATGCAGTATGCTGCACGCGCTCAAAGTCAGATGTTTTTTTTTTTTTTTTAACGGACGTTTTGCGATTCTCTGGGCAACCTTGATAGTATGCCGCCTAGTATCCTAAGCAGGCCGCACGAGCGGATGGGACTCACATTTTGAAAGTTTCTGAGACGGAAGTCCTGTAGTTTTTATCCGATGCTGATGTCGTTGAAGGATGGCATCAACAAGCTGTCTGCCGAAGTTTCCCTGGAAATTCCGCAAGGATTCACCTACTGCATGGGCTCAGCACAGTTTGGACCTTTTGCACACATCCCTGCCCTTGCTGCAGCAAAGACTGGGCAACTGAATGTCATGGCCATGCCGCGCAGTGCTGGAGCAACAACGTTTGCGAAGCTCCCGAGCTGCAACTCAAAAGCTGGGTCTTTTTGAAATTGCTCATTCATTCTCTCGAGGCTTCTGCTGCGGATGTTGGATGCCCCTGCGAAGATTAAGCTGAACGGAGAACATGTGGAGCACTATGAGCTTGAGACCATCAACTTTTCCATCCACGTCATTGATCACGCTCCTCTGCCTTGCAGCGTGGCTCGAACACCTGGCCAGGGGAGCTCCCTTGCCGAGTATATACAGATGGGCCTTGAGGATATGGGTATGCCTCTGCAGTCTTGCCTAGAGCAGGCAGGCATGTGGAGTAGGGTGGTCAACCTCCCCAACGGTGTGGAAAGCATAGATTGGGCCTCCAACATGTCAAAGCCAGAGGCCTTCAGGATCCAGTTGGCCCAGGCCATCTTCCGAATATCGCTTGGGGCCGTCAGGGTGCTTTTGATTATTGATCCGCTGAGAAACTGTAACCAATGCGAGTTGGAGTCCGTGCGGAGGCTCTGGGTCAAAGCTCTCGAACCCTTGAAAAACCGTGTCCTTGTCTTGATTGTCGATCAAACTGGCAATACAAGTCAGTGGGCGCTTTAATGCAGCGCTGAAGGGCGTCTTCCCATCCGGGTTCAGAGAACGTCAAGGGTCAATTTGCTTCCTACATAAAGCCAGTTGCTCGCAGTTCAGCAGATCCCCGTGTAATGCTTTGAACCTGGCTCTGGCCCTAGCGTTGCTTTTTTTGTGTTCTGTCTGCCTGTGCGCCATGCGCAACAGCAAGTGACCTGAACTGGCATGATCGTGCCTTTTGCTCCAATCCGCTTTCGGAAGCGAAGGAGACTGTCTCAGGGCGTTGCCCATGCAGTTATACAAGGCAGAACTGTGAAGCTGACAGATTCAGAGCATTGAGATTTGTTTAGGATTGCTCCACCTCAACTAGCTTGTCCTTTGTGCAAGGAGTGGAAGCCGGCACGGATCCTCTTACGCGAGCCTGGCCCAACATTTGACTGTCGAGAGGGGAGTGCTTGCGTCAAGATCGTGGCCAATACGGCATATGCACTCTCTCTCGCTCTCTCGCTCTCTCGCTCTCTCGCTCTCTCGCTCTCTCGCTCTCTCGCTCTCTCGCTCTCGCTCCCTCTCTCTCTCTGTCTCTTTCTCTCTCTCTCGCGCTCTCTCTCTCTCTCTCTCTCTCTCTCGCTCTCTCGCTCTCTCGCTCTCTCGCTCTCTCGCTCTCTCGCTCGCTCTCTGTCTCTCTCTCTCTCTCTCTCTCTCTGTCTCTCTTTCTTGGGAACCCAGACGGTTTGGACACCTTGTCATGTTGTCAGACTAAACGTCAGTCCACCGTTCCTAGATCGTTTAGACACTGCTGACATGACATTCACGCTTGATATGCCATCCCTTTCCTGCGAGTTTATGCAACAATGCACCGTCTCTAGAGCCCTTCAGAATCAGAATGAATCCGACATCAATGATTACATACTTGCTTAATTGCAGGGGTCCTACCACACATGCCGCTTTCAAACCACAGCTAATTATGTGCGTTGCTTCTTCAGTCAATTGAGCTGGCTGATTCATGCATTGGGCATAACTCAAGTGAGACCGATTGTAGCATGAGCTTGGAGCAATCTGCAGTCGTGTGGCTTGAGCCCCCACACAGGGCGGTTGTACACGTTGAGTTGGAGGTATGATGTTACTGCAAAATGGTCGCTCAGTTCCAAAAGTCGCATGACCAGCTGCAATCACATCGGTAGCACTTGCATGAGTCCCACAGGTCAGGCTTTCGCTTTGTCTTGTTTGCAATGGCAGCTGATGCGGATGTTCAGCCCATTACCACCGATGTTACGTTTCACGCCTCTGGCAATGTCACTTAGCTTGATATAGGTGCAGTCGTGTGTTGCTGAGATGAGCCCTAGGAGCTCTTAGCACTAAGCATGTTACAAAGCACAGGTGTTTTTTGAGTCACCCCGTGCTTTTGAGATGCCGCGACGTGCAACATTGCTGTGGGTACCCGGAGCAACGCATGACTCCGCCGCGGTTTTCCAGGGAGCCCCGGTAGCACTGTGCTCCTTACGTGAGGAATTGCCGCAGTGTGCGCTACAACGGTTTGAACCATTTGCAAAAATGACAGTAGTAGCTGTTTTAATATTTTTCAAGTTGACCTCGGGCCAACTTCTAATGAGCCCTTGATAGGTGGTGTATTGATCCACTTGCCAAATGTTTTACGAGGGCACGGTAAAGAATGAGCGTCGGGCTCCGATGATGTGTGTGGCTATGCCGTGCCTTGTTGCTAAATCCCTTGTGTTATCTATCTGCTCTAAAGATGTGCAGGGTTGACGGGTTTGAATCAGCTTTTGGCCCATGGCTCATTATTATTACTATGATTACTATTATTACTATTTTCACTCGTACTATTACTAGGACTATTGATATAGTTACAGCTGGCAAGCCGGTCCTAGTGGTCGCAATCTGTCAACCTTGGTGCTGTCTCGTCTCAAAGCAGTTGAAGGTCCCATGACGGCCCTCGCAGACAGTGGGTACACGTCCGTGGCACTGTTCCTGGAGCACCTATCTGCAAAAAGGGGAAGTTCTTCGCAGCGATCAGTAGCATTTAGCTTGTGTTCTGGTCGAGCTGACAAAGGGATTTAGCTCTGACCTCTGATCCTCCCTCCCAGCCTTCCCAGGAAAAGTCGCGGTGTACATCTCTGGGATCCTATGTGAGGCAGGTGGAGAGGGCGCTGCACGATCTCGAGGACGGTCCGGGCAAAGTAACAACCTCCACGAATTCTTAATATGACTATTATTACTGGTACTATTATTACTATTATTACTAGTACTCTTACTCTTACTATTACTGTTACTATTACTATGATTATGACCGTCAAGAAGTTGGTGGGCTTGAGGCTGACCTCCACATGTTCAACTGAAATTGCTCATTTGCGGAGAGACCATTTTTGGGGGTTGCAGGGGAACAGGAATTGCAATAAACTACCAAAGGAAGGCAAGTCGTGCCATGCTATATCCTGTTGGGAACTCCCAGTTAGTATGTAGCCTCTATTCCAGGTCCCCACATTGCCTGTGAACTTAATACATGCTGAGAAGTGAACCGTTGAACCCCAAGACCCAGAAACCTCTAAATCCTTCAACTCCTAAGCACTTAAACCCTTCAACCCCCTGTACCCTTAACCCTAAACCCTAAACCCTGAAACGTTGAACCCCTAAGCACTTAAATCCTTAAACCCCCCTAAACCGTAAACCCTTAAACGCTGGCGTCTAGACCTGGGCTCTAGGGCCAGGAGCCTGTGATCCTGATCGGCCATTCTCTCGGCGGCTCCCTCGTACAGGCAAACCGGTACTTGGGGGTTTCCTAAAATTAGGGGATACCTTTTTGGGGTCCCTATAATAAGGACTATAGTATATTGGGGTCTATATTGGGGTCCCCTTATTTAGGGAAACTACCACTTTCTCCAAAGTACAGACCTATAAAATGGAAAAGAAAATGGCAACTACTATAATGGGGTTATATAGGGTTTAGGGTTTAGGGATGATGGAAAAGAAAGTGGGAACTATTATATAGTATATTGGGGTTATATAGGGATAATGGAAAAGAAAATGGAAACTATTGATTGTAGCTGCAAACGCCCTTTGGATTGAGGTTCTCTTGTCCAGAAACAAGGATGCAGCGGCCAAAGTCAAGGGTGCCATTCTTCTTTGTCCAGTTCCTGTTATGAGCTTTTGCACCTGGGCCGCAGGTTCTCACTATGGGGATATAACCCCAATATACTATAGAGCAGTTTCCATTTTCTGTTCCATTATTCCTATATAACCCCAATTAGATGGTAGCAGCACCGATGAGACCAGGTATGGCTTCAGGTCTTCTTTGATGTGGTCTTAATGTACCAGCATTGTGATGAATATCAATGGTAAGTGTCTAGTGCTGCATGCAGTCAGACCGTGTGAGCAAATCAGCCATTTAAAGTCGCCTTCTGTGGCAAAGGCACCTACATTTGTTTTTTCTTCTATCTGCTGGCCAGCTTCTGCCTTGGCGTGCTCATGGATCCTTGGAAGAACTGATGAGCATACTTGGGCCTGACGGTACCTGTCCTTGCAACGTTTGCCGCGTTCCTGAGCAATCTTGCTTTTCATGCAGGTCCTGCTATGCCTCAACGTTGCACAGCTGGTGGGCGGTGGTTTTTGCTGTCGCAGCGCGCGACGCTGCAAAGCTATAGGCAGCTTTCCTGCACAGCCGGCAGTCGCAGTTGGACTTGGAGTGATGTACAAGCTGTTGGATCCAAGCCGCCGCAAACGTTGCCAGACTGGTAGAGCATGAGCTTTGCTGGCGTGAGCTTCGTAAAGCATCTTAGGCTTTGCAGGCAACCCTACGATCGTGACTATTACGGGGAGTCCACAGACTTTCCAGCAATATCACGAAGGCCGCGCGGGGTTGTGCTTCTGAGTTGAATGCATGATGGCATTGCCTGAGCTCTCTTATCAGCCTGAGTCCATTTCACCCACGCCCTTGTGGCTGCTTTTCTCAATTTAGCTGACGCAAGGTATCGCGAAGGTGGAGTCCATTTGCTTGCTGCTGGGACTCCTGTGTTTCAGTGCTTGCCCGGGAAACACCGAGGCAACAAGGGCTGGTGTGCTTTTCACCTTGTTGTGGACAATTCTGCGTAGGTTGGAACTGAATCGTTGCATGCCCTGAAGGCTGGGAGCAAGACGATTTCAATTGTCGCTGGTGCTGAGGACGTTCTGACACCACTCTGGTGCCATCGGAGCACCTTGTTCATTCCGCAGACTGAAGGTTTCTGTAAAATGTATGAAGGCAACCCTTGCGAGTAAATGTGAGCCAGATGTGAGGCACTGCTGCTGCGTGGTCAGCCGCCACAGTCTCCCTGGATGGTCAGGGCCATTTACTCTCCGACGAGGGCTGGGAAACCACGCATCTCGCCCCAAGCATTGCTTATCCAGTCGAATGCTTTCATTGCGACGCGTTGCCGGACGACTCTAAGCTGAGGCTCCTGCCTGCTTTGAAAGAGCAACTTGAGGCCATCGTCAAACTAGCCTGAATAAGGCTTCAACCACAGCAAAGCCTGTGCTTGAGAAGTAGGTTGTAGCACATCATAGGGTGAAGCAGCCCATGCCAAAACACAATGCTGCGGCCATGAAGCTTCACAGCTTTGAGCGCACAAGACGCTGACCTGCATGGGCATGGCTGAACTTGTCCACGGACTGCCCTGAAGAGACACAGGCGTAAACGTGAGTGTGGTTGAGCTTAGGAAAGGAAACCGAACTGCTAGGATCGGCAAAGCTTGAACACATCAGGTCACAAGGTTTCTTTCCAACCAAAGGCAGGTGCTTGCCGCACAGTTGCAGAAGCTTGTCAAACTAGACTTGTGTTTTTCCTGCTCAGCGCCAGGTTCAAAATCACTTGCAGGAGATCGGGCAAAAGATTTGCTCAGCTGTCCTCCCAAGGCTTGCTCTTCAGCTTGGCTGAAGCATGGGAATGCTGCTTGATGAGTGCCAGTAACAGCTGAACAGTCCAATCTGAAGACTCCTTACTCCTAGAAGGAACTAACACAACATGCCAGGAGTGGCCGTGGCTGCAGCCTCAGCCATTGCTTCCAAGCAAGGCCGGTGCTTGAGCAGAGCAACTCAAAGACACTGCCACAGCTATCTAGTAGTTTCCCTAAATAGTCCTTATAATAGGGATCCCCAAAATGGTACCGCTTATTTTGGGAAACCCTAACCCCCCATGATCCCCTGTATACCCCCAGTTTCCATGTCATTTTCCATTTTCTTTTCCATTTGATTCTCCATTATAATAGGTACCCCTAATTTTGGGAAACACCCATCTTGCTTTTGTGGCATAGCCCGGCAGGCTGGCGGGCCCAGGCAGGGAGCTCACAGCTGGGCACTGCGGGAGGGATGGCCATAAAGTGCTATAATGGGGTTATATGAGCTATAGTCTAAACTCCTTAAAGGGGGTTATATAGGGGATTATATAGGGGAGTACTATAGGGGTTGTTAGGGGGGATACTAGGAGTTTAGACAATGGCTCATATAGGGCTTAGGGTTTAGGGATACTGGAAAGAGAATGGAAGCTACTATAATGGGGTTATATATAGGGTTTAGGGATGCAACCAATGGAAAATCAATGGAAAAGGACAATCATATGGCAAAGGGAGGGACACTACCGTGTCATTTTCGGGCCTACTGCAGGCGCCAAGTGGGAGGAGCAGAACATGCTCGCCAGGTGGTAGTTTCCCTCAACAAGGCGACCCCAATGTAGACCCCCAAATATTATAATCCTTATTCTTGGAACCCCCAAAAAGGTACCTCTAGTTGTGGGAAATCCAACAAAATCTTATAAACCCCTCTACCCTCTATGTATCGCCTCCTTAGAACACCCAAAAACCTTTAAAAAGGTATCTCTAGTGTTGGGAACCCACAAAGTAGTTTCCCTGAACACTATAAACCCCTAGCAGACCCCTAGATAACACTCCAAAATCCCCTCCTACCCATAGTTTTGGGAAACCCCTAGGTCAGACGCCCTGATGTGGAAGTGAGGATCCTGGTCAGCTACCTGGACAGACCGCCGCAGTCATATGAGCTACAGTCTACTTGGAGGGTCATGGGAACTTAGTAAGTAGGTTAACAATAGGGGTAACTGGGATTATTATATGGCTTATAGGGGTTATGATCCTACTTACTGAGTCCCTATGACCCTCCGAGTAAACTTCTTAAGAGGGGTTTAGGGTTTAGGGCCGTTTAGGGTTTAGTGTTTGGGGTTTGGGGTTTAGGGTCCAGGAGGCTTACAGAAGGGGATTATATAGGCCATTCAATACAAGGGTTATTAAGGGGGATACTAGGTGTTTAGACTAAATATGCGCCACTGTCTATATTCACCTAATGCAAGCGACCCTGAAGAGTGGACATAGGGGTCCCTCCTTTAGTGTAATGTAGTCCTTAGATTGGTCCTTAATGACGAACCCATATCCGTTAAATTATGTAGAGCATATTGACTGTAGCTCATATGCAGCAGACACATGGAAGTTTCCCATAAAGGACTATAGTATATGGGGGTCTATATTGGGGTTCCCCAAATTTTTGGGAAACTTCCACACACTACTAGTAGACTCCAAGTGTGGCAGCATGCTCAGTGAAGGATCCTGATGGGACCCACAACTAAAAGACCTCAGTCCTGACACCGCGAGAATGTTGAGTATTACTGAGTACTATTACTATCACTGACAACTATTACTCTTAATTACTATTACTGATTCCTATTACTATCTTCGTTTCGTTCCGGGCCGTCAGGTAAGTGACTCGGATGTGCTTGTCGACCTTCCGCTTCTTGAAGGGCGCTCAGGAAGCTTGCGAAGGGGGGAGTGTTTCAAACATGTGGCCCCCTTCGGGAGTCCCTATCATTTGCATTATATACATATATATATATATACATATATATATATATAGGGGTCTATATTGGGGCCCTGTACTCCCTTAAAAACGGGGAAAAGAGGGACAGATCGACCAGTCCTAAGCTCTACGTGCACGCTGGCATGGATGACATTGACATCCGTGGCTGTCAACATCAGGGCCCCTCTGGGTGAAGCGAAATGTAGGGCGTCTTGTAATCCTGAATATTCACCATCACACATGTAATGTAGCTCTTTTTTGTGACTGGCTCTTCAGCATAAGACGATGGCATCATTGCCAGATGCCCTCAGGTTCAATCTGTGCCCAGTGGCGGTGGAGAGCTTTGTAGTGCTGGCATGGCTGCTCCAGTGGTTGGGTCCCCAGACATCAAGCATGATGGTTTAGTGTTTAGAGATGGACGTGGTGCCATAGAACAACACCTTTACGACCCATCTGCGCCCCTCATAATGTCATACCCATGCAACCTGCCCAATGCCCCTGTCTGAATATCAGTTGTACGAGCTGTTGTCAGCATCATAAAAAGTTGTTGCACAGGGGTGTAAAAGCTGTAACGAACGATTCCTTGTAGTGATGGCGTACAATGGCGTGCAACACTCCGCTGCATATTCTCCGCAAATGTAATGCAGACGCAAATGTAATGTAGGTCCAGAAAAGACGTATGCCCTTCTAACGCTCCCTAGGTGATCACTTTCTTCCCCAAACGCAGCCCTCAGATACCAACACACAGACCTGCAGACTCATGCGCGATCCCTGCAGGTTCCCTGCTTCATTCCGCAGTACTCCATATCTGCTAGCTCAATAGTACTCCCTGCCCAGGAATTCCAAGGGAAGGGACGAGCAAAAAAGACTCAAAGGGACCCTCACTTTGGCAGTTTCTCGAAATTGCTCGTATAGATCGCCGCAATCGCGACGGCCATAATCTTTTGTAATCCCAATGTCCCAGCAGCTGTGTAAATTACGCATAAGCAGCTACGCAAACAATTCCAGAGTTTGACTTTTGCGAGGGAGCCTATAGTTTTGTAGGGTTTTTTGGCATGCTTGGGCTTCATACTAACCCATTATAGTAGTTTCCATTTTCTTTTCCATTATCCCAGTATAAACCCCAATATTATACCCTATATAACCCTATAATCCCTATATAATCCCTGTAGTTTCCATTTTATGTTCCATTATCCCAGTATTAACCCCAATATTATACCCTATATAACCCAGTATAGCAGACCCATTGTTTTACAGTGGTTTGCCAGGTCCCTTTCCTTGATCCCCCCACATAATTGCTGTTGGATGGGATCCTTATAAGAGCTATAGTCGAAACTCCTTAAAGGGGGCTATATAGGGGGTTTATATAGGGGATTACTATAGGGCTTATTAAGGGGGATACTAGGAGCTTAGACTATAACCCCTATAATCCCCTACATAACCCTATATGTAGCAGTTTCCATTTCATTTTCCATTTTCTTTTCCATTTGATTCTCCATTATTAAGGGGGATACTAGGAGTTTAGACTATAGCTCAGGAGGTGACCCATTTGGGGTATCATTGGTTTTTTGCGGGCTTAGGGTTTAGGGTTTAGGGTTTTGTTCACTCCTGGGTAACTTTATCTCTGTTTAACCTCGATAAGAAAGGTGCCCGGAATGTAAGAGTTTCCCATAATTTGGGCTACCTTATTGGGGGTCCCCATATTAAGGATTATAGTATATCGGGGTCTACATTGGGGTACCCTACTTTTGGAAAACTACCATGTATACAGAAAGTGCCAAGGGCACCTTTTCGGAGGAAACCTGGGATGCTTCAGAAACAGAGGTCCCCCTCTCCTATCCGTACTCCTGTGAACCCCCGAAGAAAAAATCAAAACACTTCATACAAGACCCCACCCCTTAGGAATAGAGTATCCCCCAATATGCAATAGTTCTCTAATTATTGGGAATCTCTGCTATTACGGGGTAGCCGGGGGTTCATCATTTTTTGTCGGAGGTACTCCTATGCTCCTTTTGATGCTCCATTCGATTGCCCGCTATGGGGCATGTTTATTTCTTCAGTCGGCATAGCCCTAAACCCTGAATTCTGAAC